AAAGAAGGGGCATAAAATAAAAATTGAAAAATCATCACTTCTCTCAAAAGCCTTTATGACTCGAGCAAGTAAGTCTGTAAGGGTTTAAAACATGATACCCTAATACCAATTGGTTTGGGAGTGATTGGCCTAAAGCTCGTTACAAGGGTCATATAGAAAGCAAGAAAAAGGAGAAATTGATAAAAAGTCATCTTATCGAGCCTTTATAACTCGAGTGAATAAGACTGCAAATGTTTAAAACCTGGTACCCTAAAGTCAACTGTTTTGGGAATCATCGCCTAAAGCTCGTTACATGAGTTATATAGAAAGCAAATGAGAAGATGACACAAAAAAAAGAAAAAAGAAAAAAAAAGAGCCCTTGTTGGACATTTGGTTGATAGAACTATAACCTTGATGCGAGGTAAGTAGCTTAGTTTAATTTTAAAGGTTGAAGCAATCAAAATAAGGAGAGTCTCTACTTGTTGATATGTGAACTTGTAATGGTAAAATCTATCCAAACTAAGAGAGGGTAATAATTAAAATTGTTTAAACTCCTAACCTTAGAATACACCTCGGAGTAATTGAGTAAAAAGAATACATTTGGGGTTGTGTATCTCTCGAGTGACGTAAGGATAAATTTGAACACTATGGGTCGGGAATAAACTAATCATAAGCTTGATATGTTGGCATGAGTTCACACACACATGTTGAGTATTGCATTTGATGAGTAAAGGTTGATTCAATTCTCGCACTTTTGATATTGTTTCTATTATTATTACTAAGTTCCAATCCTGAGACACGGCAAGCTATTAAGCCATGTTTGTTTAGCATTAAGTCACTACATTGTTTGAGGACAAATAATAGTTTAAGTTTGGGGGATTTGATAAGTGTGTTTTTACACACTTATTTAGCTCACAAACATGACTTAAACATGGACAAAGTAGTTGAATTGTGAGTTAATCTCGTTAAATTCATGCAATGTAGGTGTTTCTATGGAAAAGATGGAATTCAGAAGAAAAGAGCCGAAAAAGGACCAAAACGAAACAAAGCGATAGTTCGGGGACCAAAGGTGCAAATATTGGAAAGTTGAGCTAAAGTGCAGAATGAGAATGAAAATATGCCAAGTATGAGCTTGAGGA